TATATATATATATATATATAAAAGAGGAAAGCACTAATACAATATGAGGACAAATGGGGAGAAATAATTGGATGTCATGGTCAGGCTGCCTTATTCGTCGTCACAAGCTACTATATTTGTTAGCTCATGGATAAGTCAATTTCCAAGCCCCACTAAGTTATACTAGTGGCCTCACAGGATCACTGCGCCTAAAGCCTCCTCGGCTTCATTCTTATCCACTAAAGATGGGATCCACAGAGATCCTTATAAGATTTGTCCGTCTTCCCCCAGTCATAGATTTTCTTGGTTCGACATAATTTATTGACCTACAGGTGGCCTTTCTCATGTTGTTTGAATGACATGACATCTGTGGTTACTTCTCATGTTTCCTTTGACAAAATAGTGTACTTTTAATTTTGTTCAAAAAAAATTATAATCGACAGATATCTAATGAAAAGAAATCGGTTTTTTAGATTCTTTTTCCGAACCCTAATCTTGTTCGTGTGGATTGTGAAGGATCCATCCTCCGTTTGCCTTTCGCGGAGGGGCTGAGTCACCCGTGACAAATTACGGCCGTGGCGGGACCCTCGACACCTGTGGTTGTTCAGCGCTTCTTGAAGCCGCACCTGGTTTTGCGCACCTGGTTTTCGTACCAGCTCCACGCGGACTAAAGTTCAGGGACCCACACGTCGCATAAATATGAAATGGTAGACTTATACCGGAGGCCTCATCTCATACTTCTGCCCGTATTATTAGCACTGACGCCACAGTTTTACATCTCAATTCGTCGCCCTAATTACGTACTACTCAATACCAATCGCTCGAGCTTACCTGCCTTATCTCTCTCCCAGCCAATCAGCAAGCAGGTACAAACGGTTAGGTGCGCCGAGCGTACTGCCAGAGCATTGCCCGTTACACGTAACGTAATCCCGTGAAAGGCTAAAATATCTGCTTGCGGTGGAGAAGGCCCGACACCGGACTCCACCACTGGGCTCACAGCGACGCCGGCCCCGCACCTCATCACCCGTTCGACGCCGTTAACGCCGAGCTTATCTCATCCGGATGCGCCCACGGGCCTCCGCCCCCGCCCACGTGGCGCGTCTCCGTCTTCCGCGCCTCGTTACCTTCGCCCTCTCTTCCAAGCAACCAACCAACAGATCAGAGCGAACAGAGTGCAGGGGGGCTGTAGGGTGATTAAAGGAGGCAACTTTCCCCTTTTTTTTCTCCGTGGTTTCCAACGGAAAAGGAGAGAGAAGGAGGAGGAGGATTTGGGGTTTCGCGGCGAGGAACTTTTTAGGGTTTTGATTTCTTTGGATGATCGGGAGGTGGAGATGCTGTCCGGTGGTGCCATGCGCAAATCCTTCAAGGATTCGCTGAAGGTTCTTGAGGCCGACATACAGCATGCGAACACTTTGTACGTGCTGCTGCTCTCCTTCTTCATCATCTTCATCATCATCTCGGCATTTGGTTTCTTTGTCCGTCTTCGATTGTGTTCTGTGGGAAGTTGGGTTTTCGATCAAGTATGGAGATATAGAGGAATCTGTGTGGGCTTTTGATATTAATTCCTGTTCCTCGTGTTGGTCTAAGAACAAAGACGACTTCTTTTTTGATTAGACAATTCAAGATCGCAAAGGGTTTAGGACTACATATTGTCTTTTGTGGTGATTTCTTAAAGATATTTTTTTGGTACACTCTTAGTTTCTAAACACAAATTCGGCTTTTGGGGTTACCCAATTGCACTCTCAAACGAGGAAAGCAGTGTGTAAATGATTCGTCTTTTTGTTGTGTTTGTGTGTTTGGGATGGTGGGGTTACCTTTCCGATTATATTTGGGAAAGAGATGTGAATCATGATCCAATAATTAGGAAGGAAGATCGATTCACAAGGCTGTCTTCTTCATATCTTATTCAGGAGGAGTTCTAAAGGGCTATATTGTTTAATCTATCTTCTGGCTATCCTGTCATGTTTATCCTTTAACTTAGTCAATGCTTCTTGTTTCTGGAACAGAATAATTATCTTATAGTTAAGTGGGATGAAGCTTCACGAAACAGATACAAATAGTTTATTGTGGCTTTTATTGTTTGATATTTTTTCTAACCCTTCAACATGATTTGCAGGGCTTCAGATTTTCCTGCAGATTACGATGGTGCGTGCCTTCAAATGCGAATGTCTTATAGTCCAGTCGCACACTTGTTTCTGTTTCTGGTGCAATGGGCAGATTGTAGCCTTGCTGGGGCGCTTGGACTCCTCAGAATTATGATATACCAGGTCTCTGGTTGTCTACATTGCTGTAATGATGCTTGAAATACCCTTATTGTTCTGTTTTTGTTCGATTACCATTTTGTTTACTAAAGGACTCCAACATGTTCAGGTCCATGTTGATGGATCAACTACCATGTCGACTCATGAAAGGAAAGCTAGCATTAAAGAGTTCTATGGTACGTTTATCGCACTGGATCTTGAAAATTGTTCTTCTGATGTCGGTGATTTCTAATTTTCAGGGTTTTTAATTCTTTTTGGTACTCATTTCAGCTGTAATCTTCCCCTCTTTGCTCCAACTACAAAAAGGCATCACTGATATGGAAGACAAAAAGCAGAGGGCAGTATGCATGGAGAGATATAGACGAAGAGATGAGGATGAAATGAAACATTTCTCTGAAATAGATGCTGAAAGAGAAGAGGAATGTGGGATTTGCATGGAGATGAACAGCAAATTTGTATTGCCCAATTGCAGCCATGCCATGTGCATGAAATGCTATAGAGAATGGTAAAACACTTTTCCTTCAGAATTAAATTAGTTTATGCTGTAAGCTTATCATTTTGCTGTTGTTTTTATGGCTCTGCTGATAAGCGCCACTTTTTTCGACAATTCTTGGTAGATAACTGAACTTGAGCTTACAAATATGCCATTGTGAAGCCTTCTATTGCTTCTCATATGATTGAGAATTTAGCTGTCTGAGACTTAATGAATGAGAAATATCAGAAAGCCTGTTTCATGTTGCTCTCTGAATATGACAAAAGAAGAAGAAGAAGAAGAGAATCTATTTGACACCAATTGATGTTTGGTTAAATAATATTTTGCAGGGAGGACCTGAACTTCTTGCTTGACAATGAAAAAATAAAATTTATTAAGTGGCTTCAAAAGTTTCTGCTGAAAAGGTTAGTGGTTTTTTTGAAGAAAATAATTAAGAGTGTCCAGCAGAGTGACCAGTGGATTTCATAGTAATATAAGGTCAGTGGTAGAACTAGAAAAGGGAATTATGGAAAGTAGCATGGCTATTTCTTGGTTAATAGATTTGCCTCTGGAACACTTATTCAAAATATAAGGTTTTCAAGAAGTCAAATTAGAACACCAGTTATATAATCTAAGCAGTTTAACTGCGTACAATAAAAGTCTAGTTGGTCAACTCTGGCGGAAAATAGATCTTACAAGGTAATATGTAAGGTTTTCAAGTCATCAAATAAGAACACCAGTTATATAATCTAAGCAGTTTAACTGTGTACAATAAAAGTCTAGTTGGTTAACTCTGGTCGAAAATAGATCTTAGAAGGTAATCTTTGACATAGAATAATAAAGAATCTACCGTACTGGAACAATAGGGGAAATCTTGAGATGTATTATATGAATGAAATATTAAGTGTTTCTGGGGATTTATGCGATCACTTTACAGGTTTGCAAGTTGAGGTAAATGCCATATGACTGCAACAGCTAATTTACATTTCTCGAATTTGAGGTGGAGAAGAAGCCCTCCAAAATCTACTCAATTAAATTAATCGAACTTTATTAATGTAAGTTTACAACCATGTTTATATATAGGCAACTAGTGCCTCGATCCTCCTATAATAATACTTGGGAAATTATATAGTTTAGACTTCACTTGTAATGTAGAACACATGCTTCCTCTCCATGTCCGGCTCTCGAGTTGAATTTTACCTTATTGACTTTATATTTGATTACCAGATAAATGTTGTTTAACCATAGCTCCTTTATGAAACTTAATATAAGTACAAGTACCACTGATATATCTGAAGTGTACTTTCTGTTGATAAGCATGAAAAGTAGCCTTGAGGTTTCTGATTTCTTTTAAGTTCTTTGTTAGGGCATACGAAAACCGAGTAATGACTTACCATTGCAGGAACTCAAGATCACGGTCGTGCCCGTTCTGTCGTGATAGCCTCAAGAGAGTAGACTCTGGTGACTTGTGGATATACGTGGATAACAGAGATGTAATCGACATGGAAACGGTGACACAAGAAAATATTAAGCGTCTCGTCATGTACATAAAAGAGTTGCCCGTGGTTGTTTCAGAGTCTGTCGTCTTTGATGTTTACGACTCTCATATCAGGTGACCTCTTTCATCAACTAATCTGTGCTTTGGAGATCATTCCAGTTTATGTTTGGAAGCTGCTGCTACTTTTTAAGCGGCGGCGACGTATTTATCGATCATCTTCAGCACCCATGTAAATGTCTGTACAGTGAGTAAGCTTGTAAGTCGAGTGCCAACATCGGTAAACATTGATTGGTGTCAAAGCCTGTTCCGGTGCTTAAGCACTTTCTAGCTACTGTAATATGTGGTATATGGTAGCTTTCTGCAGTTGAAGTGGGCAAACTCTTCTTCTCTGGGTTTCCATTCAAGAAAAAATTAACTGGTTCAGCTAATTTTGGTGTGGAATCTTTGCTCTGGTTTGATCGATTAAGATGGTTTTAGTTAGTCTCTGTCTGTCAAAGCTGTTCTATTGGATGCTGCCAAAAGGTACTCTCTTGCCATTGGCCTCTTATGTTGTGTTATGACTATTCCAAGCATTGTGTGTTTGGGGTCATTTTAATAATAATAATAATAATAATAAAAATAATAAAAATAAAAATAATAAAAACATTTCCTTTTTCGTATTATATATCGTCGGAAAGACCGGAAATGGGGACGTGCATTGGCTTTCCTCCTCTTCTCTGTGATTCGAAGATTTGGTCTTCTAATTTCTGTGAGGCCTCTAAGAACGGAAGCGGCGGAGAAGGCGAAACCAGGCGTTTGAGGGATCGGGGAGAATGGCGACGGAGGATAACTCCCAGAGCATGGTGACGACGTACGAGAGGCTGGAAGGGGTGGCGAACTGGGTGGGGGGGAGCGTGGTCTCCGCCTTCTTCGCCTCCCTGGATCGCTGCTCCTGCATCAATGTCAGCACCGCCGAGGACGACGGCGACGAGCCCGAGGAGGCCAACGACCGCCCCCTCATGCTCACCAAGCCCGTCCTCCACGACGAGGAGGACGCCAAGCCCTCCCCCCGTTGATCATCTTCCTCATCATCACTATGGGTACCTTGAATCCTTGAAACCGATCGGTTCGTGACATCGTCAATCTTCGATCTCCTCTCTTTCATCCGATCTTTGGAAGTGTTTTCGTGAAAGATGCCGTATTCATTTCTCGTGATAAAACGCCTCTATGCTTTATTTATTGTTCATGTTGCTACGATCGGGCTTTGGTTTCCGCTGATTCTTGTTGTTCTCGTTAGCAAGTATGCATGTAGAGGACGATGATCCCAATGTATTCATTGGATCAAAGATTGAAGTGCGTGTTTTGGTGACGTTGTCATGAATTAGGTTCTTGTAATCGTTGTTGGCCCGAAACAAGATCTCTGATTTGTGATGTTTGCCTTTTCTAATTAGATTGTAGCCAAAGGAGGCGCATTACATTCTAATTAGATTGAAGTCTCCATTATTTCTTGCTTTTCTATATATTAATCTAATGTCATAGTTACCAGCATTCCCTTTGCCATAAGCTCAACAAATAACCAAAAGAAACATTTAGAGTAACAATTAAGTATAAAAATCTGAGATCAAGAAAGAACACCATTATGTTCCAGATAATATAAATATCAGTTCTGAATTAGGATTTGACGGGCAAAGATCAGAGAAAATTTTCTGTTATTTTTCTCACTATGCTTGAATTGTCCCTTAGACATCTTATTACCCATGAATCAAGTTTTCATGGGCTTCAACTGCCCAATGCAGGGTAAAAAAAGAAAAAAGGTATTTTGGCCTTAGTATTGCTATCGAGAAAAAGGTATTCATTGGTTAATGCCTTATATTCATAGTTATTCCTGTAAATTCCACTAACAATGATGAGTGGAAATCACCAAAGTTTTGATTTTTCTTTCCTACCTTGAATAATATTTCCTTCTTCTTACATTATCAAATGCATAAACATTGTTGTATTAACTGATTCTGATTTTATCATAGAAATAATAAAAGATGAAGACTATCTGGGTTTTTTACTACAACTATGGCGCCTCCAAGTTTGAAGAGGTCACAGGAGTTTGATAAAGTTTCATGGATTTTGATTTGTTGGAACTGTACAGAAGAGAATTTACTGTTTGGCACGAGTTTGATAGGGTTTCATGGCAATATTAATGAAAGTTGATTTGTTGGAGCCCTATAGAAGAATTTACTGTTGTTACTAATAGATAACTTTTCTTGAAGCAGTAGTGTTAAGAAATAGAGGACAGACTCATTTATTGATGAAGAGATAGACTAAGAGCTTTTTTTTTTCTTTTCACCAATACCGATATTAAACGTTTAGCGACTCAGGAGTTTGATAAGGTTTCATGTATTTTGATTTGTTCGAACCGTGTAGAAGAATTTACTGTTGTTACTAGAAAATAACTTTTGGCCAGAGTTTGAAAGGGTTTCATGAAAATATTCATGAAACTTGATTTGTTGGAACCGTATAGAAGAACTTACTATTGTTATTAATCTATAACTTTCCTCGAAACAGTACTGTTAAGAAAAAGAGGACAAACTCATTTGTAGATGAAGAGATAGAGTAAGAACATCGATATCAATATTGAATGTTTAGCTACTCACGAGTTTGATAAGAGATAGACTAAGAACATTTTTTTTGTTCTTTTCACTTAGAACGATATTGAATGTTTAGCCAGCCAGGAGTTTGAGAAGAGATAGACTAAGAATATTTTTTTTGTTCTTTTCTCCGATACCGATATTGAATGTTTAGCCACTCAGGAGTTTGATAAGGTTTCATGGATTTTGATTTGTTGGAACTGTATAGAAGAATTTATTGTTATTACTAAAAAATAACTTTTGACAGGAGTTTGATAGGGTTTCATGGCAATATTCATGAAAGTTGATTTGTTAGAGTCCTATAGAAGAACTTACTGTTGTTACTAGTAGATAACTTTTTTTGAAGTAGTAGTGTTAAGAAATAGAGGACAGACTCATTTATAGATGAAGAGATAGACTAAGAACTTTTTTTTTTCTTTTCACCGATATCGATATTGAACATTTAGCACCGAGGAGTTTGATAAGGTTTCATGCATTTTGATTTGTTTGAGCTGTATAGAAGAATTTATTGTTGTTACTAGAAAATAACTTTTGGCAGGAGTTTGATAGGGTTTCATGGAAATATTCATGAAACTTGATTTGTTGGAACCGTATAGAAGAACTTACTGTTGTTACTAATTTATAACTTTCCTTGAAACAGTACTGTTAAGAAAAAGAGGACAAACTCATTTGTAGATGAAGAGATAAGACTAAGAACATTTTTTTTGTTCTTTTTACCGATACCGATATTGAATGTTTAGCCACTCAGGAGTTTGATAAGGTTTCATGGATTTTTTGATTTGTTGGAACTGTATAGAAGAATTTACTGTTGTTACTAAAAAATAACTTTTGGCAGGAGTTTGATAGGGTTCCGTGATAATATTCATGAAAGTTGATTTGTTAGAGCCCTACAGATGAACTTACAGTTGTTACTAATAGATAACTTTTCTTGAAACAGTACTATTAAGAAAAAGAGGACAGACTCATTTATAGATGAAGAGACAGACCAAGAACAATTGTTTTTTCTCTTCCCAAATACCGATATTGAACGTTTAGCCACTAATAAAAGAACGCACAACCCCAGTTTTCATTCAATGCCTCTTTATGCTCTCTATCTTATTCTAAGGTTATATTGTTGGTTTGGACCATACCTGGATATCTTTAATTTTTGTTTTTTTAATTGTTTTCTTCTTGCTTAGCAACACGCATGAATGTTTTGTAAGCATGCCTCAGTTTTACAATGATTTCCTCTTCATCCATTAGTTCTTACTTGATCACTTATTTTTTTTCCTTTTCCCCTTATATTCCTTTTAGTGTCATCTGCCTCCTAGAATGGAATTATAATATCCTAATGGTAAATTGCATTATGACTTCTTAGACCTTGAGATAAAATTAAAATGGAGATGATATCTAGATAGATGAATCTTATATAAGTCGCACCATGTAGTACCACATAAGTATATATATATATATATATATATATATATATATATATATATATATATATATATATATATATATATATATATATATATATATATATATATATATA